CCCTCAGCTGCCCTGAGCCCTACTTCTGGCTTTGCGGGCTCCAGCCCCACCCTGCTTCAGGTGGGCAAGGAACGGGAAGCCGCCCCTTTTATGCAGAAGGCACTGAAAGGTCCCTTCCCTCCGATTGCAGGAGAGTCTGTCAGCTCCTGATTAGGCTATTGTGTTTTGAAGATGAACACAAGGAGGTTCAGAGGGAAGTGACTCACCTTCAGCCACAGATTTGGTGAGGGGCAGAGCCAAGAGGTGCACCCAGGACCCCCCCGGGAGCACTACACCCCCAACCCCCACGCACACACACACACACACACACAACCACACACACACACTGTAGCCACTCAAGGCTCCAGCCAGACCAAGGATCAATGTCCTTCCCGCCTCAGCGCTGAAAGAAGCTAGAGATTACCAAGCCCCACCTACCCCGCATCAGTGGGGCCAGGGGAGGGGCAGACCAAGCCCAGGGCTGCTGCCTCCAGCACAACTTGTCCCATCCTGCCACCCAGTCAAGGGACCAGCATTGTGCAGGGCGCGGTCCTACCCACGGCCGTCCTTGGGGAGAACCGCAGAGGGGCGTTAACACACAAAGTCAACCCTAAGAGTCTGCAGGTGGGTGAAGGAAAGGCACCCACCCCACACGCCCCATAGCCGCTGAGGCTCTCGGGCCTGCCCACGTGGGAAGAAAACGCCCCTCGGGCATGGCCCACAGCCAGTCACCTACCTGGACCGCAAGGGGACTGCTGCGTGTGTTGTGGGGTGCAGCGTCCATGAAAGTCAGTTACTCCTCAGGGTCAGAGGTTTCAGGATGAATGTCTTGTATCTAAAGGGATCAGGTAACCCTGGCCAGTGGCCTATGAAGAGACTTCCTTGACAAGTCAGGAGAACTCATAAACCATCGGGGAGGCGGGGACGCTGTGGCTCCCACTGCCCTGGGCTCCTTCTCAGGGGAGCTGTCACCCCATTCTCCAGGGGAGGAGACTACAGAGCTGGGAGGCTGAGTCCCGGGCAAAGGGTCACACGGCGGAGGGAGCCAGCCGGGCCCCACGCCCGGGATCCTTTCTGAACCAAGAGAGTAGGCTGGGGTAACAGCATTGCCTGCGTCCACCTCGAGCTGACACCCCACAGCAATTTTTCAAGAGGAGAATTCAGAGCTCACATTCATTTGTCTGCCAGGCAGCCATTTTCAAGTTTTGACAGGCCTCTATGAAGGAACAAATGTCCACAGGTTCTCTTAAAGCTCAGTCTGGTGAATTCGTTCCACCAGTAAATGTTGGGGGAAGAGTCTTTGCCTAGTGGGATTCAGACGAACCGAACGGGAGAGAGGAAGGAACCCCATCAGCAGCAGGTCAGGTTGACACACTGGGAGCCAGTGTCTGTGAGCCCCCCTGAGGTCGCTGGTAGTGCCCCCCGTTCTCTAAGAGGGGAGAGGCACAGCCCAGAATTTGTGGGTGCTGAGTCCACTGTATTGGGACCCCTTCACATCTGCCTTCTGGGCTGCTCAGCTCTCTTGCCCTGGAGGACAAGACGCTGTTTGGGGGCTTTGCGGGTCCAGAGGAGCTGTGGCAATGATCTGGGCGGGGTGGGGGGTTGGGGGGACCCTACCCTTCAGCGCCCCTCCCCCACGGCAGCTTCCTAACCCTCCACTCAAGATTACAGCCCCCCACCTCCTTCCACCTGGCCTCCTGAGTGCCTCTGGGCTATCTCCTTCGACTTTATAGCACTCACCGCCTGCTCAAATGCTATTTACTTGCTTATTGTGTTTATAAATTCCATGAAACGAGGATGGTGGAGGGGCGGGAGGTATTCTGCGTCTTTCCTTCCCTGATGCCTCCCAGGTGCTTGGAACAGTGCTTGCACCGGGCAGGTGTGAAGGAAGCGTGTGTGGGAGAGAGAGGGAGAAGTGGCCTGTCTGCAGGGTCCTGTGGAAGGCAGAGCGCGGCAGGTGGGGGCCCTGCAGGGAGGTGGAGGGGAGCAGACTGCGTCTCCCCTTGCTCTCTGGTGTCCCATCCCTGAAGCAGCAGATGAAGCTCGATGGCTTCTAAGCCTCTTTCCAACTAATAGCCTCTGATGCTCAAAACAGCCCAAATTAGGAATTGCAAAATGGCCACCGCGGGGCAAATGCAAGCCAAACGCTGGGAGCCTGGAGCTGTCCCCACATGCAGTGGGATGAGCTGACCCAGAGTCCCGAAGGGCTGGCTGCCCCGGGGTTGCCGCCTCAGGCCCGTGGGGGGCCAGCAGAGGGGCTGCTGGGAGCCTGGAGGGGCAGGACCCACGTCACTGGGGGGTCCCCGCTGGGGGGTCCCCGCGGGTCCTCAGGCCCTGCCTTCTGCATGCGGCCCTGGCCTCAACCCCTTGCAGTCTGCGGGTCCTGGGAACAGCCCTCCCGGTGTATCCCACCCTGGCGTCCAGCCCTGTCATTACAGACGCCCAGGGATGCTGCCTGAGACCGCCCCAATGCCACAGGACTCCGGCCCGGGCCGGAGGGCGCTTATGAAGGGAAACTTCACCAGGTGGCCCTGGCTCCTTCCTGTGCTGCCCATCAGCCTCCTCCCACCCCCTCCCCGGTTCCTGCACGTGTCAGTCCGTCACCAGCAGGGTGAAGAGTCATGGGGGGGGGGGGGCTCCAGCTGCCCAGGGCCTGGGAGCTGCCTAGAACAGCTCCTGTCTCCAGAGACTGGGGTCAGGAAAACCCCACTGAGGGCATGAGGTGCTGGAGGTGTTGGATTTGCCCTTCAAGGTGGAGAGAAGCTTCACTTACCTTCACTAAGGGGGGCATGTGGGGGGAGAGGAGGGGGGGCCGTCCAGTAGTGAGAAACCACAGCTGTGTGTGGTGACTGCAATGGAAAGCTGCCTGGGGAAGGCGGAGGCAGGCAGGGCAGATCAGCCCCCCCCCCTCCGGGGGTTCCCTCATGCTGGAGGGTGCTACTGACAGCCTTTCTCTTTCTGCGAGCCGGTCGTTTGGGACGAATGTGGTGGAAGTTTGCTCTGCTGGAATGGATGGGTGACCAGGATGTGGGCACATCATGGTGGGCACAGCCGGAAGGACCCCGAGTCAACTGCCATGACCCCCAAATCCAGTTCTGGTTTGCCTGGGGCGCTGTGACCCCTTCTGTAAAATGACGGTTTTCAGTGAGCTGTGCTCACTGCCCCACCTCAGGGCTGACTTAACCACTTCTGAGGTAGAGCAGTTTCTCAGTCCCAAAGCTGCTCTTGGGACGCAGAGATGTCTTGCAGTCTTGAATGAAGGGTTCGATTCCTCCTGATTATTTTATAGATAATTGCAGCTATCTTTTCCTCAGCTAGCCAGGAAAGCGAGGTAAGCGGTATTTTACTTTAGTATTATTCTTTTTATACATATTAAATGTGATTTTAACACATATTTTTGATCTGAAGAATGCAAAACTTTTTATAGGACTAAAAAATTTAATAGAAACCAGCAATGAAAAACAAGAGATCATATGTAGGAGAGAATGAACATCTGATAGGAAGAATAGAGCACAGAAGTTGAGAAGTTGGCTCTGAGCTCCCTAGCAGCCAGAGCAAAAAAAAATTAAAATGCAATCTGATAGGAAGCGTAATTTAGGGCCTCATGCTTTTCAGCAACTCTCCTCCTCCGTGATTGAGTTCTATGTCATCTGAACACTAGGCAGGAATATATAGGCACAAGTAGAAAATTGGGCTGAATGAGCTGGGCTTCAAGGATCTCAGGGCTCAATTACTGAGCTTGTGACTGTCTTGGCTTATAGTCAGGCTGCACAGAAGCTAGTGAGTGGGTCCTGGAAGCGCCATGGACAGGAAAGGCTTCTGGAACAATTCAAAAAGGACTTCTGAAGAGGGCTCATTACTGTCTAGTGTGTGGGTGGGGGCAGCTGATAAGATTTCAGAATAGAGGATTTTCAAGATGCTCAGACCCTCAGAAATATCCAGGGCAGCGCTACCAACCTCAGATCTGGCAGGCAACTATACCCTGGCATTCAGAAGACCCCAGGCTCTAATTCCCCCGTCTTTCATAAATAACCCAGGCAGAGACATCCAGGCAGCCTAGGAAAGCAAAGACCTTTCACCATACGCAGGTTTTCTTCTCAGCACAGCAAGTCTTTTTCAGTTCAGAGCTAGAGCTGAAAAATCCCAGATGAACAAAACTTGAGAGCTAATCAAGTACCACCGTCCGGCCCAGAGTAATAGTGAGCTCACCTGGGGCAGAGCAGCGCAAGCCAGACCAGCACCCCCAAAGGGACACTCAGAAGTCTCTTCTCCACTCAGCTGTACCTCCAGCCTGCTGGCCTGGCTCCCCCAGAACTGCCCAAGTGGTTCCGGATTCCCAGGGCAGCCGAGGAGCCCCGAACGGGCGATGTGGCAACGCAGCCACGAAACGGATGCAGCAGTGGGTTGGGGCCGCACGGGGAACATTTCCCAAGTTACTTTACGCATCCTTGGGGGACTCACCGGCAGGGACCCGCTTCCTCTGCACACTCCGTCATCACACTCCGTCATCACAGAGCGTCACACCTCGCTCTGGTTCCAGTAAATATTTAGAACACATGCCTCCTGGAGATGAAGTTCACTCGGCACCAAAATAAAGAGCTGCCCACCAGCGGGCAAGCCACGAGCCACACCACACAGAGCCAGATGACAGTTTATTACTGCGCATTCTAAAGGGTTGGTTGACGGGGCACCCTAGCTTAGCACCATCAATGTCAGTCCATGTGGAGATGCTTTGCCACTAGGGCTGCTCTCGCTGCAATGCACAGCCAGCCACCTGCAGCCGCCTCTGGGAGGTGCCTGACTCCCCCGAATTTCCTTCCTTGCTCCGGTGGAGAAACAGTGCCTCCCCAGTGGGGTCTGCACAAGCTCTCAGCCAGCTGTGAATGGAAAACAAGTCCCCCTGTATAAATTATGTACTATTTATGGTTGTTGCTTAAAGGAGAGTTGAACTAACACTACTATGGAAAGAGAAAGTTGCATCATTTAATTGCTATTTATTTTCATAAACATGAGGTATTTCAAAGTGCTATAAGATGCAGCACTAAATATATACATTTTGAAGAAATTAAACACAGAACTTTGCATTTACCCAGTTCTATGCACCAAACATAAACAAATACATTAACAGGAAGAAACAGGCTAGGAAAAAGGCATATATATATAGTAAATTTCTTTACAAAAGTTTCTTAGTTCAAAAAGTGATAAAGTAATATCTACTCAAAACTTTCACAACTCATTTTCATACGAAAATATAAGTATCAAATTTAGTTATGTATCAGCATCATACTAAAGTATACAGGCAGTGTAAGAATTAGTACAGTACATAACAGAGATTAACAATATATTTGTATACAAAACATGCTCCTCAAACATTGAGGTATTACAGTACTTAGGTGTGAACTTCCAGTCTAATACTGGCTGCGACAGCCACCTCTCCTTACCCAGGACGCCCGCAAAGGCGGTGTATCAGTGGTATTTACAGAAATGTTCCCCGGGGGGTATCAAGTGGCAAACCCCTTACGTGGCATCTGCTGGAACTTAAGCACCATTTTTAAAAGAAGGAATGACGTTCTGTGGTTTGGAAACTTGGAACAAGCAAGGTGACTTCCGCAGCCCCGGAGGCTCCCGACGGTCACCGACTGGACCGGTGTCTCGGAGGCGCCAGGGAGGCGCCCCGGGCTCTGGGCCCCGGCCCCAGGTCCTGGCGGAACCCTCACTGTCCTGCTCCCCGCCCGGCTCCAAACTCCACGGGGGAAAGAGGGGACCGATTTGAAAGTAAACCAACATTCTTAATGTCAACACAATGTTTGTTAAAAAAAAAAAAAAAAAATCAAAATGTGCAAAGTGGCAGCGACTCCCCGGTTGTGAGAAGCGTCTAGCAAGTCCGAGCGTGTTCGATTTTCTTGAGCAACTGCTTCTGCCGCGCCTGCAGCTTCTCCTTCTCCAGCAACAGCTGGTGCTCCTCGGCCTGCAGGGAGTGGACGTACTCGGTGGCCTTTTTCAAAATGACCACCTTGGCGGCCTTGTCGTTCTTCACCAGCTCTGGCACGTGGTCCCTGAGCGTGAGGAAGCTGGAGCGCAGGTCGTTCCGGCGCTGGCGCTCCAGAATGTTGTGGTTCCGGCGCCGCTCGCTGTCCTCGGAGTCGGAGTTGCGGGGGCTCAGGCTCTTGGCCTTGGGGGGGACGGCGCTCTTGAGGGGCCGCGGGGACGCCTCACTCTTCATCTTTTTCTGGGGCGGCGCGTCCTCGCTCTCCACGTAGGGGGACGGGGCGGCGTAGTTGTGCTGCTGGTGGATGGGTGCGCAGCGCTTGAGGATCAGCTCCCCGGGCGGGGCCCTCCCTGGCCCCAGGGCGGCGCTCTTGGGGCGCACGGTGATGGTGAAGGTGGTGACCGCCTTGCTGTTGGAGGTGGAGCGCCGCTTCTCCACCGTCACCACGTCAATCTCCTCCTCTTCGTCTTCCTCTTCATCATCATCGTCATCTTGGAGAACAAGAAGGAGAGTTACACTCGTGGGGAGATACATATGAATCGAAACAGACTGAATTATACGAGTATGGAGGCTACATACACCAACATACATAGTCTCCCTAGTATGGAGGCTACATAC